AGGGGGAACAAGCAGCCCACAGGAGCTGTCCTGCTCCGCTAGCTCATGGGAGATCCCTTCCAAGATGTACAAGCCAGGAGCTGGCTGTGCTGCAGAGCAGCTCTCTGCAAGAGCCATATCAAAAAATATGCAGAATTGTAGCAGGGTACCAGAAGGAAAAGAAGGGAATAAAATCTGGTAGACTTCTGGGTACTTCAAAACATCCGAGGCAAAGAGCAAGTTCATCCCTGCTTCATCTGCAAGGAAAGTCCAGCCCCTTCCCACACTCAAGTTGCACAGCAGTATCCAAATGGTAGGCAGTGAATCGTGTGTTTTCTCTGAGTACTTCACTGTCTGGTGGCGGCAACACCCTTGGAACAGCTGTATGACAAAATCCTTTTTGGCAACTGTGACAGCAGTGGCAACCATTTGTATCCAAACAAAGTACCCGTCTGTTTAATTTGGTTCAAACACTAGTTTTGAAGGAAGAGTTAGGGATGCCTCTGCTGCTTTGGAAAAAGGAGTATTGGTCACTGACAGAGGAGGAGGTGCTGCAAGTACAATACGCTACAACACTCAAACTTTAAGTCTACCTATGACACTTTGTACATCATGTTCTCACTCCAAGACCACTCTGCTTACAGTCATTCACTTGTTCAACTTAAACAGCACGGAAACACCATGGGTCACAGGCTGCTTGACAGCTTTGGTCTTTCTTTAGTACTGTACTTCTAAGCTTCTTGATACTAGAAGCCCAGATACTTGGTTATTCAAATATACGGCTGACATTACTAATGTGTAATAACAAGGAGTATGGTTTTTTCAACTTTCTGTTCTAGCACAGACACTGAACTGTTGCTTTTAAAAGGCACCCCCATGTATAGTTTTCAAGCAATCTTCATGATAACAGTTGCACTTCGGCAGTTTCAACTCTGCTGACATACACAAATGATTTTTCTATTGTTTTCAGATTTAATTTTTAAATGGTTTTAATAAACACACCCAAAAACAAAGAATCAAAGAATAAAACTGAGCTTACTCTGTACTTACCTCTCAGAATATTGCAGTTTATACAAATCTGCCTGTTTGGAGTAAAAGATGTCACATGGAAGCCAAGATTTAAAAAAAGGTAGTTTTTGCTATTAATCTTCCATTCCATATTCTTGTGGAGTCGTTCTGGCATATAAAACCACATAAGATTTGGTGTTGTATATGATTAGACTTGCTAATCGAATTGTATCTTCATCCCAATGAATATTTACTAACAATGATCAGGCTCTTTTTTAAGTTCTGCCATTCTGTCATCGAGAAAACTGGAGAAGTTACTGTCACCTCAAGTAGCATTTACTCCTGGATGGAGTAAATCTGTTTCAGAGTTATCTGGGCTAAAACACACAGTATGCCCATCTCCAGGCAACCCCTCAAGAGCCTGCTGTTTCTCTCATTCTTCTGTGGCATCCCTGCCAGCACAAGTAGAAGGAATATCTAACCCTGGGATACTCAACTGTACACATTTTGCTCACAGGTCACAGATGTGTAGTATCTGTCCTGCTTGGAATCCTGGCCTTCACACAGTTCTCCTGGCGTGGTTGGCTGTTCCAGTTATGAGGGCAGCAGATAGCACCTGAATGGTCTGGCCAAAACTACTTGGTGGATACTGCAAAAATTTAACCAATGGTAAAAACTGATGTATTCTCACATGGGTAAATCACGGTGCATAGACGCACCTCAAAAAGTGCTCAAATAATCAATTTACTCAAACTCTCACAAAACCAGACACAATAGCTAGGGGGATTGTTATGGCAGAAGCAGCAGGCTCCTGGAGAACCAAAGTGAGGTAAATCACTGTCAAAAAAGAATAAATCTCCTCCTGTGTCACATGTGGATGCACTCTTGCAAGCCTTTTCAAAAAAAAAAAAAAAGATCTCCATGTTATATGTATGAAAATGCAGCTGTTGATGAAGTCAGAGCTATTCAAAGGAACTAATTTCTTTGCAATTGATGACAGCTGCATTTCTCTTTCCATTACTTTCTTGTTGTAAGAACAAGCCCCAGCTTCTGTTGATGTTTAGCCATGGGAGACAGACACTATTAAGTTCGTAATTTTTACAGTATTATAAACCTTTGTGACTCAAGAATTACGAAAAATTCTCTGGTGTTTTTTAAATACGTACTGCTGCACTAAAGTACTGAGGAATTTCTGATTAGGTAGACAACTGTCTTGCTCTGCCCTGTTTGCACAATTTTTAAAACCCACTCTAGAAGGGTTGAAATCCTGGTGCCGAGGACACCAAAGGAGGCCATGCCTCATCCATGAAAACAGGGCCTCAGAACAGAGTATTGCCAGGGTACCTAGTAAGAAACTGAGCAGTAACTTATAAACTCATTGACATGGATATATAGAAATATTTCTAGTTTGTCAGAATTAATCCTGCTATTCATCATCAGCACAGTTATAGCCTACATCAATCATTCGCACTTCAGTCACCTTCTTCATTCTCGTACTCTGCTGATTCAGCTTTAAATTTTATATCACTGATAGGAGTCTTTCAAAAAGGTCACAAAAGTGCATCCAGTGTAAGGACAGTGGCTCTGTCTAATGGATCTTCCATTACCACTCCTCCTCCAGTTAACATCATTTCAGCCAAATTAACTACATTCCACAAAAATCTGTATCCTCATCCTTTGGATTTACACTGGAAACAATTATCAGGCTAGTAGGGAAGAAAATAAATCAAAAAATATCAGCAGCACCACGTTTCCTCGCTAATTATTTCTAAGACACTTATTTCACATTTTCTATAGTTTGTGCTCCAAATCTTGGTCTGGGTAGCTTTGAAGGTCTGGTCCACTACATGGGAGTGATGGGGTGACTGAAAAGATGGGACAACCACAGAAGCACATATGACACAATGTAAAAGGGATGTTTATCCAGCTGCAACCTTAACCAGAACTTACACAACTGATTTGATTCCTCATTCAAACATTGCCAAGACATATACTAAACACCAGCTCTGAAATATGGTACATTTAGTCCTTTCCATCTATACTGCCTGTCCAGCATCTATAGGCAATTAAGTCTTGAACTGGTTCTGATCTTCATCCCTTTCTAGAAAAGCCATGGCAATAGTGAAAATAAAAATAATTTATGCATATTTATGAGCTCATTCCTAATAACCAATTGAATTTTAACCTTAAAACTATCAAACAAGTCTATTTCATTAAGTAATGTTACAAGAAACTATGTGTATTTATAGATGCACACTGCTGAAAAACTAAGATTCTGGAATTAAACCACACAAACTCGAGCTTGGGTCAATCTGCTATTATACTAGAGCAAAAGACCATGACACTTGATTTTTCTTTTTTTTGTTTGTAATTTCTGAATCTGTAGCTCATCTTTCATCAACCCCCATCATAAGCCACATTAGAAATATCCCTGAAATGGCTGCAGACTAAGGCTAAGTGGTAAAAATCCTATTAATTTATTTGCCATAGTAAAGAAGATGTAAATGTTGCCTGAAAACATCTGCAACGTGACCCAAATCCATTGTGTATCCATATACTCACATAGGGCTACCTGTAAAGCTGTCTTTTATGCTCTCCTTGTATTCTCCTAACGTGTGTGTCTGCAAATATTTTTTAGCATGTGACATTTTCATGCAGGCTGAATGGAAATGTGATATTATTCACAACTTACTGTTAGTAGTAAGCTTCCCCAAGAAGAGCTTCTTTCTTCTGCTTGGTAGGTGCTAAGCTTTTCAGCCATCCTGACTATCACCAAGAGTGCTTCACAAGCTGGCACTGTCCCTCCCCAGCAGTACTGCCCTGCCTCACTTTGCTGAAAGCCATAAACCAGGTTGGCTGCAGAGTTTTTGAAGTTTTATGACTGAAGAGTTGTAGCATTTAATAAACGCATATCAGTTTCATGTTTCATATATCATATTTTAATCCAGATCAGATGTCACAAAACCCCACGATGTATTGCTGCTGCTTTACATGGACTAGTTTATAGACACCTCAAATCCTCTTTCTTCTCTAACTTTCAGCCCTAGGTAGTCATACAGGAGATCCACAAAGGCTGAGCTCAGTTCAGGGAAAATGCTGTGAAAGTCCAAAGTTCACGTTATGTACATTATTTATTCATAAAAAGAAAAGCAGGTAGTAAACATTTTGGAAGAGGTGATGTATTTGTATCCAAGCACTTCAGTAAGCGTGACAAACGTTGCCACCTCATGGACAGGTGCAGGGTTTGATTCATCGCAGCGGTAGGAAGGAAAAGGGACCACGGAGATGACTCACTGCTGCCCTTCCACACTCTCCTGAGGAGGGAAGTGACAGCTCGGCCAGAAAAGATGCTTTTGTCACTTAGATTGACCTGGAACTCATTCATTTGGGTCCGAATCCAGAAGCCTGGCTACACAATCACAGCTGGGGGGGACACGGGGGTGTGTGGAAGGGAAAGCTACACACGTTCAGGGTATTTGACTATCTCAAATACCAGAGCAAGGATGGGAAAGAATGATTTTTTTTTTCCTCAGAAGAAAAAAAAAAAATGGTCATCACAGGACATGTCACAGCCTTGTATAGTCCCACAGTCAAAGGCCAGCATTCAGGAGTCATTCAGGAGTAAGATACCTAAGTAACAGGCTGTGGGACCTGGAGTTTTCAAGAGAGTAATAGAAATCTTCAGATTCATGAAGACAATCCCAAATTTGTATTATTAGGGGATTTTAATACCCCTATAAAATGTAGCAGCAGTTGGGAATCCTCTACTTGTAAACTGGAGACAAATGATGGAGACTATTTCATCATGTATTTCCAAAGCTAAACTTTTATGTTACAATGCCGCATCCATTACTCACTGTTACCACTCTTTTGGGGAACTGCTGCAGGACTACTATCACCTGTTGAATTTCCCTCTTTCTGTTGGCAAGGCAGCTGTGCCATCCTCATCTACAGCACCGATACGGTTACAAAAGGCATTACACAGTGTGTATCTCTTAGTCAGTCATTGCAAACAGCATTATAATTAGCACTCAGTATAACTGAATGAGCATAAAAGGACTATAAAATGTTAAAACCAAAATAAAACCTTTCAAGTTTAACATCAGGATAGAACTTTAAATAATAACAATTTTTTAAAACTGAAGCTTTGTAAAAATAGATTCATAGTCAACATTTATGAATGGTCTGAAAAAAGACAGTCTAGTGATTAACGGGGAGTTTCCTATCATTGTGATCCCATATAACAGTGTAACAGTCTGCCTACGTATGACTGAAGAGAAGGAAGGTTTTATACCAGCTTGATTTTAAATATGTTCTTATGTTTATTATATTTTGCTACGCCACTCTCCTAAAATGGTGGCCTCAGGAAAAGCTGCTTTGGCAGGCAATTGTAAAGATTCCTGTGGAGAGGAAGTGAAAAGACTGGGCATACAAACAAGGGCTGCTGCCATGTTCAAAGCACTGGGGAGAGTTCATAGAGCAAAATGCAGTCCTAAGTAAATGGGTTTCAGGCAATTTCAGTGTTAAGATAACATCATTAAGAGCAGAACAGATTGTGCTCAAACCCTGCTGTTTATAATTAACACATTGCTTCCAAATACTCCAGGGTCCCTGGTAAATAGTCCTCTGCTCAGATCCACCCAGACCAATCAGAGTATTTTCATCAGGTTCCATGCTGGGCCAGCACCTGTTTGGACAAATCCAAAAGAGCCAAAATATTCTTCTTTCTGGCCAGCTAAGTAGAGAGATGAACACAGCTTGCCTTAGTCATTGTCACAGTGTCCATATGGCCGTGAAGCTTGTTTTCACAAGAAATCGTACAAGTACTTTATTATGTCGAAGTTCACGGTCCTATAAACAAAACCACAGTGCATTAATCTTAGAGCAAGCATCTTAACAGTGCTAAGACTTTAGCATGTTTGGAGACAGCACATGTGGGACATTCTGCACAACCAAAATCAAGCAGTATCTCCAAAAGGAATGCAATCAAAGATGAATGAATTTTTAACTTCTAGCATTACATACAGTATTTCTTCTCTGATTATTTGAACTCTGTAATATTCTAAAAAAGAAACAAAGCAGCTTTCTAGTAAAAAGTGGAAGATTTCTATTTGGAACATTAAGCAGTAAAAAAATATACCAAAGTTAATATGATTATATTTTCACACACGTGAAAGTCTAGTTGGTGATTCAAAACAGCAATCTTTTATGCTATTGAATGTTTTCTTCATCTTCCAAACCACCTGTTTTAGCACGTACTACAGAACTCCTTCGCCTCTGCTCATCTGCAATCTGAGTTTCCAGTCTTGACACTAGTTGACCCATGTTCATAGCTAAATTTGAAAAATGGAAGAATGCCACTCAATGGGATAGAAGATTTTAATGTATACTTTTGTACTTTAATGACAGGCAAAATGAAAGAACAGTAGAATAAAACATATAATTACTTTTTTTGTCTCTAAACTCATTCAGTTATACAATCCAACACTCAGGGTTTGGGGTTTACTGTTTGAATAAATAATGCAAATTACTGCATATAATGACACGTATAAAATGAAAAGGGTTTTTTTAAAAAGTATTCAATGATGCAAAAATAACCACTCACAATGCTAAGTGAGATTAACTGGATGAATGTCTTATTTGGGAGACTACAATCATTTAATATTCTCTGTTCATGCATCATCCTGTAACCCACTTTTCAAGAAGTTTCTATAAAACATCAAAATGGGCAGAGAAAAAGTTCTGAAATTCTCAAGATACATAAGAAATACTGTGTTTAAGTCTACTTAATAATTTAGTGGCAAAATTATATAAACTGCCACTGTCAGACTTGCATGACACTGTGTCACTCAAGAAAAGTGCTTTAGTTACAAGGCTATCCACAGAAATAAAATCACGCACTCTAACAAATGCTGACCTTATCAACTAAATGAGCAATCATCCTGCCCTAAAAACCAGGTTCATTAGAGGCTATATGAAAAGATCCATTATATTCAACAGATGTTAAAAGATCAATACTTCAGCTACAGAAAACTTAAGAACTCAGGTCTCAAATTCTTAAAGCAGAAATTAAACATTTCTAACAAAGAAATGTCTAACCTTACTTTCAGCTAAGTGTGTTACTACTATGCGGTAAGTACCATGGGAATGTCTCTGCAAAGACTGAATACATGCAACAGAACAGAGCCAGACACAAGGTTCTGTGGTACTCGAGACAGAGACTGTGCATGCCCACTGGTTATCACAGCAAAAGCAAGCAGGAAGAGACAAGGTTTTTTTATTCTTTTCCAAAAGCAGATGGCTATTTTTTTTTTTTCTTTTAAATGAAAGCTTCACTTTTGTTTAAAAATTAAATAACAATCTGAACTGCTTGATGGGGGGTGGGTAGGGGAAGAAGAGAGATCAATTTTCTGTCCCACTCTTTGCCCTCTTTAGCCTTCCACTAGGAAATATGCTAAGTAGCAAGGTTGAGAAGGTAACGAGGCTGAGGTACACGGGGATTTCAGGGACTAACAAATTTATTTTTAGTACTATTACAGTAACAGAGAAAAAAAAAATCTGGAGATGGGACACTTATTTGATGTGTGCTTTGGTTGAAATGGCAAAGTAGTTGTTCTTTGCAATACATACCTCTCCCACAAGCAGTTAAAAACTGCAGGCAGCGGTAAGACTGTAGTACAGCTAGAAAGGAAAATTTCCGACAGCACAGAAGATGATGCCTTCGCCTTACAGCTAGCTAGCCCCATCAGGACAAGGGGGAAAACCATTTATTATGGGTTCATAAAACCTTCTCTTTTATAGATAATACTCCTAGAAGTTACAACAAAAACTGAGGGCTTTAAACAATTCCTAATAAAAGAAGTGTAACAAAGGAACAAAACAAAAAAAAGGGAGGTGGGTGAGAACAAGAGAAAAGTAGAGGAGTCCAACTTTAAGATCTGTCTGGGTTATATGCTGCCTACATAAACACTTCCAGAATACCTGGAGGGGGAAAAGAACTGCTTTCTTCCTCAAAAAATGTAGGAAAAATCAGCCACGAGACAGAGAAACGTGTACACACACACACACACACACACACATAAATACACACACACATCCCTGACCTAACGGAAAGCCAGCCAAAACACTGTATTGTGCACTGACATTTGAAGGGATAGCACCTCCAAGAACTACTTTCTTTGGTAAGCATGAACTGCATAGCACAAGTTCTGGTCCTGTTTTCTGGCCATCTCTTCCTTCTTGGAACTTCAATGGAGCCTATGAAACTTCTAAGGATGTTTAAGTTGCAAGTAGAGGGCCATCTCTTCAAGTATCTTAATTCAAGGACCCTCAGTCAGTACAGAGGTTATTAACTGGTCTCTCACTCACCATAGGAGTTAGAGCAGAGTCAAGAACTTGGTGACTTTTATATACACAACAATCCATGCTGCTGAGCAGATGGTCTGCTGTACTTGGTACCAGTGTGAGCTTTTTCAGGACATCATTCACAAGTGACATTATTGCTGAGAATAGCAAACTGACTGCAAAACCATGGAGGACCTGGCAGCGCGGTCCAGCCAGGCCCAAAACAGATAAAATTTCATTCCGTGGCCTGTCCAACTGCAAATGGAAATTAGTGTGCCTGTGGGGTTTATTGACAAGACTATTGGACGTTTAACAGCTCAGGAGAGCAACATATGCACTGAAGTTACAGGTTAGCATCTATGCCACAGGATCCTCTGACATCCCACATTACAGAGAAGAGCTGGCCTCAAATGCACCTCTCTTCCTTTTTTCCATGTTATTTCTGGGCTCTGTTCTGGCTACAGCCTCTCCAGCCAAGCCCTGCTAATGAGCTGGCTGCAGCAACATGTGTGAGGTGATGTGTTTGGCATTGCATAAAAATGAGACACAGGCTTGATCGCTGCCTATGAATTGCATACGTTTTTGTCTGTAATTTATCAGCATCTATCCTGATGGACGCAGAATTGTTCACAGACTCCAAAGCTGAAGGTTCTGAATGGAGCCACTGAGGTACTTACAAACTAATTCAATAAATGAATACATCGGCGTGCAACAGTGAACAATCTCCAACAGGCTTACCGGGCAACAGCTCTGATGAAGTCCAGAGATACTGTACATTTGTATCGTGGTCCATCAAGCTGGTCATTATGGCCAACCATAGATAACAGCTGGAGAGTCACAAGAGAGGTGATCTACAAACAAGAGACATCAGCAATATGAGCCATTTTTGCTAGCATAATTGGTAGTGGTCAATTATCCCCCTCCCTCCAGTGGCATCATTCTTGCATTTCCCTAGAAAGTCATTCATATTTGCTCACTGATTTCCCCATAGTTCAGTAACCAGCAAACTCAGGAACAGATATATGTTTTCACCATTACATTTTCAGCACAAGCACAGAGAGACACAGGCTAAACCCTTCATCTTTTGTATCAAAAGTTATCCTGGAGTTCTGGATCAGAGGGAAAAAGGCAATGTGGAGAACAGGGATAAGCAGCATGAGCTGAGCATTTTCCAAATTTCTGCTTGACAACCAAGAAAGACTTTGATTCTCTTTCCTTTATACCCTCTTGAACTTTCACACTCAAAAATGGATATTCCTGTGCCAGCTCAGACACATTTTTGAGCAGATAGATGTATTGCTCTACTCCAGACAAAAAAGAATTTGGAAGTTGGAAAGGAAAGGCTGGAAGATTGTGTGCTTAAAAAGAGCAGGAAAGGAAGAAGGAAAGGAGAGAAATTTGCTTACAAACACACATACAATGTCTTGACAGAGCCAATGAATATTTTACCAGAATAGCAATGTACCAGCATATTTTTCACTATCTTCATTCCTCCAAATGATGACTGTGGTATCACTAAAGTGCACTTGTGGGATGTCACTGTTGAGGGCAGCCAGTCTGTTCTGCCTTAGTTAGGAGAAAACACAGTGGTGATTCCACTGTCTCCCTACCTCTCCCCAGCTTCGAGAGGAAAGAAATATGTAAAAGCAGAAAAGATGAAACATTTTCCCTGGCCTGTGCTATAGATACCACTGAGAACTCAAGGCAAGAACTTCATTCTATGAAGAACTGGTATCTGGCCACAGCTCTACTTCTCAAAAAAACCCAGCGAACCATGGTCTATCTCTGTGTAATGATAATAGCATAGTAAGGAATTTCTGAAGAATAAATGTATTGGGAAAGCGAGTGTGAGCTCAAACCTTCAAGGAAGCACACTGCTATAAAAAGCAGCAGCCAGTTCTTACCAGTATCAATCAGAAAAAAACCCTAACTCAGTAATAACCCGTCTTTTGCTGAACTTGAACTTGTTCTTTAAATTTGTGACAGTGATTGCAGGAGGTAGGAATAATTATTAAAGTTTTCCTTTAAGTGGACGTAATATAAAAAAATGACATCTACCTGTGGAGAATAGAAAAAAAAAAGCAGTCACCAAGAATAAGGCAGTTCTTATCACAGCCTGTGCTTAACTTTCTCTTATAAGGCATTAGATAACAATAATCTGGATGCCATCATTCTGCAAAGTCCTTGGAGTTTGGTTAAGGAATACTGGCCTGCCTATATTCACAAAGAGAAATTCCTTTTACTTAACTCAGGTCTATAAATTACATTACAGTGTAGCACATGATTTACAAATTGTTAGTGCTAACAGCATTTAAGAAAACTGAATTCAGTGTATGGTAAATGGCTCAAACCCCAGTTCATTAATCACTTTAACATATCACTGAATGGAGGTCAACCTCAAACTTGTTAAAATGCTTATTTTCTTAAAAGACTCATGAGTTTGGGAGCACATTTTTCTAGTCTCCATCCAACAAAACCCTCAGTCAGCAAAGAAGCATTATGGAATAATCTGCTATAACAATTGTGATCTTACACCCTGGTGCAGCATTACTAGCAAAACACTTCTTCAATACGTACTTGCAGCTGATCTCATGTTCAGAAATCACCAATGAAGGAATGGCAGGAGGCTCCTAAAAGCTCCCAATGAGCACAGCAAAAGCCTAGATACTTTGGAGCTGGAGCCATCTCAGTTTTATGTGGGATGTAAACATGACCTTGCTGCTGCATTAGAAATGCTTCAGCAATGCTTCAACAACAACTTGTAACCATTTTCTTCTCCAACAAGCACCAAATAGTATGTGTATAACATAAGGCAGGCAATGTAAAATTCCTTAATAAAAGCTGACACAATATAACTGAAACAGCATCAGACTTTTGTTTCATTGTTTTTGACTCAATATACAATATTACAAGACAAATGAAGCTATTGATCAGAGTAACACAGACTTACTTTGCAAACTGCAGCCCTTCACTCATTTCTTTCAAAAATTGTCTATTTAGCTCAATAAAATGTCATCCCAGGGAAATGAGTGTTGAAACTGTGAGCCCTGATCCTGAGATGGCTTAAAAACACAGAATTAGAGACAACAACCATTTTCAATTCATGCAGGTAAGGGAAAAACGGAACACATATCTTATGTGGGTAAACAGCCAAGTGCTAGAAGCTAAAAAACCTAACTTGTGAGTCTTCAGAACAGAAGGAAAGAAAAGAAGAAGGAGCAGAATTCAAAATCTAGTTACAGATTCCTAGCCTGCACATCGAGAAGGGTAGAGATCTGAGAAGGACAAATCCAAAAGCCTGTGTGCTGAGGTGAGAGCAGCCTGGAGCTCTGTTTGCACAGCTTTTTCAATGGGCTCAGGGAGAATCAAGGCCAACAAGAGAGTTCTGTCACCTCAAAGCAATGACTTTCATTTTTCTGCTGTGTATAATATAGCAGGATTCTCCTGCTGATGAGTCAACCTTCAAATTGGGCAAAATGGCGGGTGTTTTTTTCCCCAAACTGCTTAGTTAGAAGAGTCGATTGTGATAGATGTGGAATTAAGTTCCTCAAATATTCTATGCTGAACTTATCTGTCCAGTCCCAATTAATAAAAATAAGATATCTGTCTTCACCAAATGTTTAAGTAGTCTTCCAGGACACAGAAGGTTCAATTCCCTCTGGACACAAGAGGTGTGACTGCCTCTTCACTGTACACCTGACAGCCAACTGGGGTGGGGGCAGTGAAGAAAGGCAGAAAAAGCTTTGTACGGTATTAAAACATTACCAGATCTAACTTTCACTCTAAATGCTTCTGAGCTGAGCTATTTTGCATTAAATTACCTTCATAGAAACAGTCTTGCTCTCTCTCTGCCTACTTAGGGCATTCAGCTGGTACAGCAGGACATGGTGAAATGAACTGAGCTCAAGTAGCAAACTTTTAAAAATCCACAATTTTAATGTTCTGTTAACTCTTAAGGTCCAAGTGCCACCTATAATTAAGTGCTGGAAAAAAATATTATTGTTTCAAAGATTCAGGTGTTGTAAAACTATGGAGGCAATCAGTTCTTAAATGAAAATACATCAAGAGTTTGAAACAGTTGGGAAAAATAAAAATGCAATGGCAAGTAAATTGCACTTAGCAAAAAACCACACCCAAACTTTTAAAAGCTGCCTTTTTTTTTTTTTTTTTTTACTATACCATAGGCATAATGGCTCCATTTCATTATCACAAAAGCCTGGGAAAAAACATCTGGCAAGGATGGACTAGAAACAAGCTAGAAAAACTGTGTGAGTGACATAAAGAATATTTATAAAGAATCTTCTGAACAAAAGAAATCACAGTTGGAAGAAATATTCTAAAGCTATTAATGAAATTAATGTTAGATCTAGTAATGATTTAATATCAGTAAATTTCCTGCAGGAGTAACAAGAAAATCTGAAGTTACTGATATGAACAGGCATCTCTGATACATTGAAAAATAAACCAAGATTGAGCTTTCTTTGAAATGTATTTGTGGGAGAAACCTGCTGCTTGGAGGCAAGGTGAGAACAGTTATAAAATCACGGTAAAGAGCTGCTGCCAGTAGGGAATGATTGCACAGATTGCTTCTGGAGATTCACTGGACAAATATGGACATTGAAACCTCTGGAAAAAAACAAGCAACCTACAAACCATCCTTAAAGGCTGCTTTTTTTCTTACCAGCCTGGACTAATAGATGGGCCTTGCACCATTCTCCAAGCAGACACAAAGATGGGCTTTTTCAGCACATGGCTGCATGGAAGTGAGAAGGATTCCAGAAGCAAGGTCTGTCTGCTGAGAAAGGCCAGGCTCTTCCCAAGGACACCACAAGAAACCAGAGGACATTATCAGCAGTGCAAAACATGAACAGAATTAACACCCGAGAGATAGGAAAACACATGGTTGGTTTGAGTAAGCAGTGATTGCCTATCCCAAGAAAGAGTCTGGACAAAGTGTGCAACACATCCAAACACAAAGGATAAGACTAAACAGAGAAAACGATGCTGACTACTGGGGAGGAGAGAGTGGGGGTGGGTAGAGAAAAAGCAGCAAGCCGTTTCCTCTGATATGATTGAAATCTCACCAAGTGGTCATTTTAAAACTGAACTAGAAAAATATTAATGGAAGACTAGCAGGAACAATTTCAAACTGTCAGAAATATACTAGATGATCTGTGAGGTACTTTCCATCTCCACAGTCTATAATCTTCAATTATTTTGCCCAAGATGCAACATTAAATGTAACTTCAGTCTAGCTCACTTTCACTCATAACTTTTGGTTCTGAACCTCAAACCTACCAAGAAACTGAGAAATTCCCTTATGCAGTAACATCAGAGAACAGTACTAAATTCTTTCATATTAAAATTAAATTTTTAATATTAAAATCATATTAAAATTTATATGTACTTTGTGCTTTGCAGCACCATCACCACATGGGTCTCAAGGCAAACATGCAGCTCACTGCACTTGTTTGAAACCCACCACTGCCAAGAGTTATGTTCATGCACATCCTAAAACCACTGCTATGCAACGCAACGGTTTGAAAACCAGATGCCATTTAGAGAAGACCTTTTAGTCAAAGTGACTGCTGCAATAGTCTCCTGGAGTTAAATTCAATGACTCTAGTACAAGTTATGTGAGTGTAAAAACACCCTGCTCAAAACCATTTCAATCAAAACTATAGTTAGGGTATGCTCAGAACATCAGCCTTGTTAGAAAAGCTCATACGGAAAGCTAACAATAGAACATTGCAATTATATCTATTTTAGCCAACAATTGATGAAAACTGTTCTTATAAAAATTATTAAAAATAAACCAACACTCTTCTGAATGCTTAGATTTTAACAATCA